GAGCGCTGGGGGGGGGGGGGGAAGAGGAGGGGGAGAGAGAGCGCACTTTTTCTGGTACAGCTTGAACCTGTTCCCCCAAAAGGAATAATCTGTACCAAAGGACTTTTTCTGCCGATATAGCTATCTATCTTAAGGCTTTTGCCAGCATAGCCATGTTAATCAAGAGAGTGTGATTTCCCCATGCACCCACCCACCCACCCCTATGTCAGCAAAACTTTTTGGTGTAGACCAGGCTTTAGTAAGATGTTTAAAAGGTTAGACATTTTCATGAAATATAATTAGTATGACACCACAATGGCCATCAACCTTCATTCTTCAGTTTGTAAACTATTCTGCTGATTCAGAAAGAAATATCCCCCGGGGTAAAATACTGAACAATGTGTCTCCTGCTCAAGAATCCAGCACTGGTCAGTGTCAGGGGTCAAAGTGACTGGTGAAACTGTTGTTTCAATGTTCAATTGTATGGAATCAGATTTATAGAAATGTAGGGCTGGACGGGACCTCAAGAAGTCATCAAGTCCAGCCACCTGCACTGTGGCAGGACCAAGTAATTACAAACTATCCCTGATAAGTGTTTTTCAAAACCTCCAATGATGGAGATTCCACAATCTCCCTTGGAAGCCTATTCTAGAGCTCAACTACCCTTCCTAATATCTAACCTAAATCTCCCTTGCTGCAGATTAAGCCCATTACTTCTTGTCCTACCTTCAGTGGACATGGAGAACAACTGATCACCATCCTCTTTACAACAACAATTAACATATTTGAAGATTTATCAGGTCTCCCCGATCCCACCCCAGCCTTCCTTTTTCAAGACTTAACATGTCCAGTTTTTTTTAAACCTTTCCTCATAGATCAGGTTCTCTTAACCTTTTAATCATTTTTGTTGCTCTCTTCCGGACTCTCTCCAATTTCTCCATATCTTTCTTAAAATGTGCCCCCCAGAACTGGAAACAATATTCCACTGATGCCTCACCAATGAAAAATAGAGCAGGACAGTTACTTCCTATATTTTACATACAATACTGCTGTTAATACACCCCAGAATGGTATTAGCCTTTTTCGCAGCTGCATCTCATTGTTGACTCAATTTGCGATCCACTACAACTCCCAGATCCTTTTCAGCAGTTCTACCAGGGTCTTGAGAGATTTACATTGAACACAAACAGAAACAAAGAATATTCAAAGAAAACTAAATTAAATTTCTATATGGTCTGATATCAATTTTACCTTTAAAAAATGGTTCTGCTATTCGTTCATTTTTACACACAATAAGTGACAGCCAAAATAAACCCTGCTTAACAACTTTACAAAGACAACAGAACTACTTTTGACTACTGCGTGTCAGCATACATGGCAATGTGATTTATGTTTGGAGCCGCAGATCTCTATGGCCCTCTGAAATGTACTGTACAGCAAACACTTATCAAAGGATTCTGTCAACTAGCTAACTTTGTCCATAAAAGTTCCCTTTGATAAGAAGGAAAATTAGAGCACATTAATCAAAAATACTGTGAATTTAAAACTCACCACCCCGCTTGCAGACTTTGTTTTCACGTCCAGTTTCACCAGCCCAAAACCTTAAGATAAAAGGTACACTGTAATAACTTTAAAGTGTGTGCATTTGTCTAAGCAACAAAATTAAAAAAAAATACTTCAGCCATTGATGAGAGCGGTATAAATCCAATGAACGTTGGAACATCTGTAGTCAGTGTTGAATTGAGTAGGGTTCTCTCAAACTTTAAAGTGAAAAAAAGGAATAGCGAAGGCCTGTTTATTGTACACCAATGACTACTAGGGGATATTCTCTCAGTTAACTAAATGAAAGTTTGTTTCTGTCTACTTCGCCTCTCAAAGACAAGCTGTGCCCTTTCTGGCTTTTATGCTGCCACCAGTAAAAGATTCTCCAGTCAGAATTTAGCTTGATGTTATGCTGATGTGTGAACCAGAATAGAATACAGTTCATTCTATAGCACTGCTGAGTCAGCAGAGCTAACAAAGGTTAGGACTCAAACTAGGAAATACAGTTCCAAATACACAAAGGGAGTAAATTTAAGAAGGTGCCATTTTTATATTGTCACCCTTCTGACAATTAGCTGTACTTTATATTATACTAAGCAAATAATTAGATGTATGGTTTTTTTTTCAGAAATGTCATTCTTATATTAACAGGATGAGATTTACACAGTCACTCCCATGAAGCCTCCTGAAGGATGCTCAATACAAGAGCCTACACCACACAAGTTGATTTATTCAGCTTTAAAATAATCAGAAGTTATACACACACAAGAATCAGTCATATCCTCTACTTCTTTGCCACTGTAAGGTTGCTTCCTATCATAGTTATCTAGTCAAGTCCAATTACATGTCCCAAGCAACAGGTTTCTAAGCTACAGTCTAACACACCTCAAAGTTTTTATATTTGATATTACAGTAGCACCTAGAAGCCCCAGCCAAAACTAGGGTCTCATAGTGCTATATGTTGTCCAAATGCACAGTCTCTGCCCTGAAGAGATTACAGTCTAAATAAATAAGAGTGTGAGGAAAGAGAGATGGATGATATAAGCAGAAGATTGGGAACTGAAACACAGATTATGGCTCCAATTGTGCAATAAATTCTGGCAGACTTCTGTGTTCTGCAGAGCACCTATGAAGTCCATGAGATTCCAGGGGTCTGCCTAGCAGGAACTCATTGCAAGATTCTGACCAACAATGTGATCCCCAAGGTCACACAGGCATTTTAATAACAGAAAGTCATGTTGCTTTAACTATACCTGCTTAAAGCAGCACAACCCTACAAGTGTGAATGCAGTTATACAAGTACAAAAAGTGCTTTGTACTGGTATAGCTATCCCAATACAGCACAGGAAACCACCGGTATATGGCACCTTTACGTTATAACAACTGTGTCCACTCTAGGGGGTTCATCAATACAGTGTGGGTTTTTTAAAAAAAAACATATAATTAAAGTCCCATACCTAACCAACAATTATTCCAGGATAACTTTCAAGTGTAGACCAGGCCATAGGAACTGGAACTTGAACCTTAGTTCTTGATTGCTAGTCAACTGTCTTAACTACAAGACCACACCTTCCTCCCTAGAGTACTTACTATAAAACCCATTCCTTCCTTGTTGTTTACATCAGATATTTACATATTTGTTTCCCATCTATTAACTTTTAATTAGCCAATGTGTGTGTGTGTCTATCTAATTTTTCTTCAAGTCAGTCCCACAAGGTCTCTAATCATTTTGCTGCCCTTGTATGAACTCCCTCCAATTTAATTAAATCCATTAGTTTATCCCAGTGTATACAGGCACACACAAATTAACATTCCAGAACATGTGCAAATTAAAAATATTAGCTTTATGTGCTTCAGCAAAGTGACATTTCTTTATATTGCATTTTTCTTAAAGTATTATTCCTACCATAGCCTTTGTTGAAGATATCTCTGGCAGATTTGCCAAGATCTGCATATGATGGAGGGATCGCCATTGGAGCTGGAAAGATAGAAATAACAGGTATATTAATATTGAAACATATCATAAAGATAAACTATCTTTAGTTCTAAACCCACTGTGTCTTCCAACAAGAACTCATACAGGACAATTAACAACAGATGGCTCAAACTAAAGCAGTACATGATACACCTACAGATTTTCATAGAATGAATACTGACTATTTCAAAGTGGCATGGGTTTACCAAAGTTCCTCCCCATGTAGATTCCAATATGGATTTCCCAATGTTTAGTTAAAAATGTAAAATGCTCCATATTTCAGAAATTGCAAAAGCTTTCAGAGGAGAAAGATGCCATTCCAAACTGGGGCACTGGAAAGTTGTAGGAAATTGTGATGAAATCAACAGACTCTCTAGACTCATCAGGATTCTCATGAGATATTTTTGTTAAGACCCCACAGGATTTTTTCCCCTTTTTTTGAAAGGAAACATGCAGGATTGTGTATCTAGTTTGCATCTATACTTGGCCCTGTGTTTTAATACCAGATATCTAACTCAAGGAGAGAGATTCAAAAACACTAATAAGGTTATTAAATTCAACAACTGTTCTGATAAACTTTATAGAAACTCTACACATCCCACACTCTGCAATGAAGAAGCCAAATATTTTAAAGCTAACAACATCATGTCACTTCTATCACAATTTTTAGTGACATTTGTAGATCGCTGTTATTTTAATATTTTAAAAATTATTTAATGACCAATCTAGTTACTCTAGTTAATGCATCCCCTTACTATAAAAAAAGAGAGCTGGGTCTATTCTGTGGTCCAACCTCTCCTTCCTCATGCTGGCAAGAGTTGGGAGCAGTGCAGAGGGAATGTGATCAGATCTTGCTGAAGAACACACCATGTTGCTCTGAAGCAACTTCTGTAACAGAAATTAGGTTGATGGGATCTAAGTGGAGATCCCCCAAACCAATGAGAGCTATCAGAAAAGTTAAAGTCAAATAAAGGCTTTTCTTGGGGAATGTAAGAAAGCTTAAGCCTTTATAAGCCAATGGAGGACAGACTGAGGTGAGGTCAAATGGGTGGAGAAGCACAATAAAGTTTTGGCAAGACTTCCTTCAGCCTGGGAGTCTTAGGCAGATTAGGGGCGCCTAGAACACTTGTCACTCTAATGTGGTTACTACTCACCCCTTTCAACCACCCACCACCACCCAACTCCTCATGTTGGTCTTCAGGATTATCTATCACTGCCCTTTCAACAACTCATCACAATGCAAGGCTGTTATCTCCTTCAGTGGGAGCTTTCCCATAGACTTCAACTGGAAAAGAACCAGGACCTTAAAAAGGGCCACTGTCAATTTGAAATCTATTTTCATATTTTCACATGTGAAGTGTTTGTATAACCCTATCTCCCATGCAAAAGCGCCAAAAACAAAAAAGGAAACTACAAAGGGGAAACAGTGAAACTGACTAGACAAGATGTGCTGTCAAAAGCACAAGGTATGCAAACAAAGAGAAAAGTTCTCTAATCTCATTCAGTTGTAGTGATCTTGTGTTACAAGTTAATAAATAAAATTTTAGACAAATGTAATATTTAAGTTCACGGTGTCTCTAATGAGGAATTAACACACAGCTGCCTCCAATATGCCACCTGTTTGCCTCCTTATTGAGGCAAGAGTACAAAGGAATTTACATTTTTACTATCTGTATGCCAGAACATTCAATGCCTCCATTTTGTTTTGTAGAGTAGGGCACTAAGTTGTCATTCATTAGGTTTCAAAGACTAACATCCTATTGAGATGAACAGGGCAGCTCACACTTAATTTTTTTTAAAGGGGTAAATCAAGTCCTGCAGAAGACAATGGGAATTCCACAGTGTTGATTTTTGGAAATCTCTGCGAGCCTTAAAGCACATGGGATCAAAGCAAGGTTCAAGAACTCACACTTTTTCAGAATGTTTCTTTGTAATTTTTAAGTACCAGAAATTGCTATTGTAAAGAGAAAATTCAATATTCAGGAACAAATAACAGTCACAATACTACTTTGTTTTGGGACTTAACATTACCTTTCTATGGTGCTAGTACATATGTCAAGTGTACCTGTGTAACTAAATTTCATTTTAGTAGGTTCACCTATAGTCCAGCTATCCCTTAGCTAAGTGTTCTAGGCCAGCTCATTATTCTGAAAAATAGTTGTATGTCCTTAATAAAAAGTGGAATAACCTCGGCATTGCAATGAAGCAGTTTCTACCTGCCCTTTTAAAAAGAGTGATTAATATTTATAGATTAAACAGCAGATCATATACATACAGAAGAATGTTTTAACAGCTCGTTTGAAATTGCTTTGATTAAGTTACAAATTATAATACCCAATTTAAATATAGTTTTAAAAAGCTGCCATAGCAGACTAGTTACCACCTTAAAGATAGTTAGAAAATGTTTCAGTTGTTTAGAAATGAACAGCTGTTGTTCTGATTGAGCTACATAAACAATAAAGGAAACATTGCTATTTTCCATCCTACTGTGCAGCCAGACTTACAACAGCTCTTGATAATGGTTACCATTTTAAAATAAAGCTAGAAAGTGTTAAGCCACATATTTTGGGGCTTTCTTCCAAACCACCACCGCCCAAGAAAAAGCTATTTCTGATTTCATTTTTATAGTAACCTTCAGCATCAAAACATTTTGGCAGTGATAAAGCCTTTTGTTTTTGTGTAAAAAGAAGAACAGGAGTACTTGTGGCACCTTAGAGACTAACAAAGGTGCCACAATTACTCCTGTTCTTCTTTTTGCGGATACAGACTAACACGGCTGCTACTCTGAAACCTGTTTTTGTGTAGTACAATTTAAATTCAAAAGGACAGTCTCATACTATGGCATCAGTTATGCTAAACAATGCAGATGCCATGGAAAGTTATTAGAGGAGGTACCAAACAATTTATAATAAAATTGCAGATTAGAAAGATACTATGAAAATTATGCTAGTTCAATTACAGTAACAAACATTTGGGTTGGTACATATAAATCGCTAAATATTTGTTACATGGCCTATCTGCAAATAAAAGGTGACTATAACTGCATGAATACCACCATAAATACTGCCCTTGTCTTAAAATGCAATCTAACCTACAGGCCTGTAATTTTTAATCTTATATTAGTACAGATCAAGTGAGGGACCAATGATTAACATGTGTCCCTGATGCTTTTATAATGATCTTTCCTGTAATGTAGGGTGACCAGATAGCAAGTGTGAAATATCAGGACAAGGGGTGGTGGGTAATAGGAGCCCATATTAAAAAAAAGCCCCAAATATCGGGACTGTCCCTATAAAATCGGGACA